GATGACGGCTAACAAGCCAGAAATGGCCATTCCGGTCTCCCTTTGCTTTTTCCGATCCATTTCACATGCATGCACGTCAGATTGCTACTAGTGAGCGAAATGCTCTGACGGTCGATTAGACCTGCTCCTTCCAACCCCATACACCAGCCGGTGCCTCGAGAAAGCTTTAGGCAAAACAGATGGTTCACCGTGATTGATGCTGGCAAGTATTTACTGTCAACGTCAGCGTATTCGTCGTTAGACGTTTTATTTCCTTATGCATTGCTTCAAGGAATTGTTCCGTTGCAGTTGTCAATGCCTTCAGTGTTCGGTGTGGGCGGACAACATTGGAGATAGGACAAATGAACATAATGCAAACCAATGTCTGCCAAAAATATTCGCAGTTAGTATAAGACGAGTTACAGGGGCTAGAATACCATAAACACACTCAAAGTATACAAAATGCGTATTTCCAGAACCACCCTCCTTTAAACTGCAAATAAGCTAAAAGTAGTATCGATGCAATATGCAGTGATCGCTTTATTCAGGCAAAGTGGACCTCCGGATTATCCTATAGAAAATCTGTAAATGCTGATAATAATAACAACCTCTGGATAAATTTCATTTAAAATATGCCTAAAATTCTCAAGTTGGCTGTACATATTTTGCAGGTTCTGGGAGCTTATATGAACTGTCCTCCGAGAATGAGCCAGGGCGAATTTTATGGCACTGGCGAATGTTTCGTTTTTCATTGGACTGGTGCTGACAACTTTACTACAGTTCCAAGCCAAAGGGCAATTCCAGAAGAAGAGTCGTTGAACTCACGAAAATGTTACAAGGTCTAGATTTTTTTATTGATTCTTTATATATGAAAGTGGCATACGCAATCTAGAAAGGTTTACCACATTTACTTCATTTTAAATGACTTTATTAGATAGAGCCCATGAAGGTATTTTTAGGTCAGGGGACTTTCTAACAGCGTCTAAATTTTGACTTGACTGCCCCAAGGAAAAAATGCTGCAATTTATTGAGCTGGCGTGTAGATGCTTTCTAAGCCTCCTTTATCAAGGCAAATAATATGCTTGGGAACATATTTTGGTACATCCTCTTAGGTTTCTTTTGTTTCATTCTTTCCGCAATATTATTTTTTTTCTCCAACGTTGCCCAAACGAAACAGAGTTTCATACTCTGAATACAGTTGTCTATAAAAAGCCATTCACTCTTCCGTATAAAGTACTCTTGTTGATGTTTCAATCCTAGGTTTAATAGGATCTAAAGTACAACATGCAAAGCGCCTAAGTTTGCAAAAGTTTTATCAGTACTCACATATCGGCGTGAACGCATTTACGAAAACTTAGAAAGAATGATGAAAAGCCTTAGGTATATTAGGTAGTTAAAAGAAATATAAGAAGTACTAAGTGTTTGTTAAGAAAAATAAAATCCTCCCGATAATCCCCAAGTTCCAAAGACGTAAAAAATGCTATAAAATAGGACAATAAATTTAAATCTTTTCCTTATTCGAAAAGATAACGTAACCACTTTCTTCATCTAAAAGAATTTTTCTTTAGTCAGACCTTTTATACACATTCCCATTAATGGATAACTAGTTATTTATTGTCGTCCTTAAATTCTGGCATAATTTCGAGCGTTTTCAGTTTCTCTATGATTTTCATCCATCAACTGAGATTCTGTTTGACATTAACATCAAAACTTTTAAAATAAGATAAATTTCAAGAGAATTTAGCCAAAAATGAATAATATATATTATTTCTTATGAAGATGCCCATGTGGATGATGGATAGAAATGTCCCAAAAGAGCAAAACAAATTGTCGGGCATAAAAAACGTCCAAAGCATAAGTCCCAAGATTAATTAAAAAAACTTTCTTTAATGGATTACCTCTTTACAAAGTGCTTTAATTAGATATTCAGCTGACGGATTTTTCTGTATGTTAAATAAGTCCAAGGTAACCTCAAAATTAAAATGGTGACTTTTGACAATTTTTTTAATTTACCTGAAGATAAGTGATTCAATTGGACTGGAAATGAAAGAAGCACTTTCCTCTATATAGTTGACTGTGAATTACTTCCAAGTTCTGTCCTAAGTTCGCGGATGCAAAATGGTGTGGCCATGTCTTTAACAAGATATTTGTATCATTATTATTCTTCTGTCCGTTCCGTTTCTAAATAACGCATAAGCGAAACGTATATTTTACAAAAAAGTAGATTTCTACATGATCTACATTTAGTAAGGCGTGTCCTTACTTGCCTTCACGGTAACATATATGGACACTATGCTTATTGGTCATCTAGGCGATGCCGCAAAACAAAATGCGACCAAAACGTTTTGTTTCTCCATTTTGTGGAAAAAAACTTCACGGGATATCTAAACATAATTTTTTTAGACATAAATCGTTCCTTCTTTCTGAACTTGGCCTTACTTGCATCTGAACAATTTCGGACAAAACTTGCCGATGCTGGAATGGATATATGTTACACATTTTTTACTTATTTTGGAATTCTTCCATAGAATAATGTATACTAGATAAACCTGATTTTCTCGTACTTAATAGCATAGGAAATTACCCCGATATGAGACGACTCCCAATTTCGCCAAAATAAATGCACATTCTCCTAACTTAGGGTCAAAATAACCTGATTACATATATGCTAAACTACTAAGTTAATTTTCGTCATGACTCTTGCATGCAGCACTCGTCATACTCTCCACTTAAGTATTATCTAAGCATTCGCGACGAAAGCGGAACTATTCGTTGAACCCGCCTCCCAAAGATGGGTTAATTTTTCAAAACAGTATGATATTACTTAATACACACACAAGATAAGCGTATTATTCAACTTTATCCGCAACTAGGCCGTGTGTGATGATAGTTGCTGTAGTTGTAACATCGAAACAAATTTAAGAATTGACTCTCTGAGCCTTAAGTCCTAAGCAAAACTGGTGTTTTGCCTGCTTAAGGGATGTTAATTGAGTTCCAATCAGGTCTCATATTACAAGGCCACGTATAGAGACAAAACTTTAGCACTTTGAAGTCGTCGGCTTGACCTAAATCTTTAAGAGTGGCCTTCATTTTGAAGTAAAAAATTTACAGTCCTAGTCCACTCGGATTTGTTAATTTGACCCGTTAAAATCAATTTATCTGTCACGAGCTTTTCTGCCTGTTAACGTTTTTGAACCTTCAAAAACGAATGATTCCTACGCGTTAGAACCTCATAATTAATGTGCGGTTCCTGCCTGCTATAACTAGTAGCCATCTGCTGGTGCAAAGTCATCATTAAAGAATAATAAAATAACGAAATTTATTAACCCGCGCAATAATCCCATATCGGAACTGTCACAGCCTCAGAACGGCGTCGCTCTCTGTCATAAACGACAGCTAGCGTCACATGTGTCTGTTCTTATCTTAACTGCATTGGTTAGCCTCGAGTCTTTTCTGTCCACATGACAGTTTTGACATAGGTAATAGATTAACCTTGGCTTGTGAAAACACTTTTGAACAGTTCAGCAACTTCGCCTCATTTTCTAAAACCCTATTCTGTACGTGGTCGTTGAAACAACACAAGTAACTATGGGGTCTGGACCACTTATGGAAATTCGACAGCAAATACAGGAAAAACCATACTGTTCATAGAGCATACACCATAATGTTCTCTGTTTTGGGATAATTTCATTTCTGAAAGGTCAACGCAGAAAAACGGCTACACCTTTACAAGAATTTAAGTTCTATTTCCTTGGAGTGGGACAAATAAAGGAAGTTTGCAAGGCATGCTGCTTGTCTAGGTTATTCCGCATGGTTACAATGCCGATTTTCTTACGTGTATTCGAAATGATTGCTTTAAAGACGTTATATGGGGATCAAATTTTCAGCGGTTCTTTTAAAATTCGTTGTTTGATACGTATAAGTAGAGAACTCCAATGCCGAACGCGCTAGTGAACTTCAATATATATAAAACAGATAACCATATAGCATTAAGCTGAAGAATTGCAGTCAGAGTATCAACTGTTTTTTTTACCAACTTTTTATTAAGTATCGCGGGGAGATGGGGAGGTCTGCGAGGCACAACTGCTCAAGATATTGATGGATTTGGTATCCCGAAAACTTTGAAGCTAGGATATTATCCTGTAATCTATCGAAGAAGAGTTTTACAGATGTATTGATCGAATATTTGCATATATACCTCTTAAAAGTAGCACACAAATAATGCGTCTCAAATTCCAAGTAAACATAATTTGCAAGCAAACGGATAAACTCATCTTAATGCTCTGCACACTGCCACCCCTTATTAAATACCTAGTATTATTTTCAATTTAAACACATTAGGAATATACCGAGTATTATTTAAATGCCAAATCCTTTTAAAAGCATCTGACAATTCAAATAAGCGCACAGTTATTTCTGCAAAATTTGTGAACGGTTAGATATAAATGAACGTCTGTACGTATCGACCAGTTTTAGGTGTTTGAATATGTCCCGGTGACACTCCTCAATTATTCCGTTTTCCTAGTCTGCAAGCACCGAAGAGAATAGCCATTACAATTTCTTACTTTTCTGTCAAATACACCCTTCAATCTCTTGATTAATTGAATTGAAACAAGCACTAGATCTGAAGATTTACCAGGAAATAGTTGTGTGTAATCTATTCCTGACATATATTTTTATAGCACATTAAACGCAATTACCTTCCATATAACTCGAAGAAATATGAATAATACTTAATAATATTTGTTTAATAAAAAATGCATATCAGTTCTTAAAAACATTTGTCGGTAGGCAACTATTTCCTTCATTAAATATGAAGTATTCACCCTAACCCACTGGTCCCACTTCACTGACTGCCTTTTACCTACTTCTATAGAGATACCTCTGGTCTGGTGAAAATTACTTCTTCCTGTCTGGCGAGCAGGACTCTTTCATAATCGGTTGTACAGAGTACGTTCTACCTGCTTAACTGTTATTTATTTGCTAACTGTTACTACAGTTTCTAGTTTAGTGATAGCGAATGATCTGAACTGCTATGTAATTGCATCATATTCCCGATGGCAATTGATGAAAATAACGATCTCGTGGTGCAACGGTAGTGCGTTACAGTCAATGACCAAAGGTCTTGCGTTCGAATTTCTGAACTCGCCATCCCTGGAATGAGCTATGACTGGGTGATCACTGCTAATAAGCCAGAAATGGCCATTCTGCTCTCGCTTGTTTTTGTTGGTCCCACCACATCCTAGACATCAGTCTTTATTCCGCATGCCATCTACCTATTATGCTCTTTATGTTCCAAAAAACAAGGGCATCCAATATTTTATATGTTATGTGATGGGTTTTTAGCAAATGGGTGGCTTAAAACGTAAATAACTTAATTGGCACATTTCCGTCAGTTCAAATTTGCTTTCTTCATTAGCCAAAGGTAGTTTAAATAGTGCCCCTCATATAACCCTAGTCCCAGACTTTTTTCCTATGCAAACGCTTGTTATAGGGGTGAAGCATCTAAATGCAGCATCTCATGAAATTTTAAATGAAATTTTAAACGTGTATTTGCTAAGAAGGGATTACCTAGACGGAACTGTTGTATTACTTATCATACAGTATAATCTCAAGTTAATCCAGTCACCATGGGATGATAATCTTTCCGGTATCTGTAAAACCTACATATGAAAAATGACTACTACTTAACTCTCAGGAATTTTTGCGCAATTACATGCAATGTCCTCATTAATTCTTATATGCATAAAAATATTACCTCAAGTACCCATTTGGGAGCAATATAAGTCTCATTAAAATCCTATCTTCGAAGAAAATATATATTTTGTCTTTGAAAAAAACGTATAATTCTAAGTGTACTCTATGCCGAAAGGTGCTTTCCGTGGATATCAAAAATTGAGGAAGACGTTACTTGAAACAAAGTGCTTACATATCCTTCTTTTAAATAACATTTGAATTCATGAGGGCATATGAAGTCACTTTCAAAAATTCGTACTACTGAAAAAAGCCGCTTATCAAGAGTGTTTCCATGATTTATAAAAATTCTTTCTGAAAACGCGGGAAGGTAATTCATTACCTTCTCACCTGAATTGATTTCACTCTTATGTTATTTCTTATATTTGCATCGTACGATACGTCATACCCTAGAGAAAATACCCCAAGGGACTTGAAGCTCTGCTTCATTAATCAAAGTGAACTCTACTCTGCTTATGATATACTTTCTTAAATAACTGCCATCTCGGCTGACAGAAGGCTAACGTATTGGCATCTTAGAAAAGAAATTCTTTTCCCTTTGGATTGTGGTCAGGATGCTAGCTTCATTCGACATTGAAATAAAAATATATGGCTAAAATCATTGTCTCCGTATTTTACTGAACCTGTTGATCTGTTAGTCTGTGTGTGCATATTCATATGCATTAAGCATAAATATGAATTGTCGCGCAATTATTGAATACTCTAACCTATCTCGTTCTTCCTTTTAGTGGAAAATCGGCCATTAGAATAGATGGTGATGTTCTACGTGGCCGAACTCAGGCATGCGGAACTTTTGATAATCCAGAACTCACGGAACCTGGTGACTTTCTCATTCATACACTCGAAGTTTGGGCATTCTCCTAAGTGTATTTTTTAGACAGAACCCCTAGCTCACAACTATCCTATTTTTCTCTTTTTTCATACACTTTCCACATAAACTGTTTTCACCTCCATTTGCTGTATGCCTCATCAACAGTTCACATATAATTTTCACCACCAGATACCTTCATTAATTTCAGTGACTTACTCTTTTTTATTGCATACATAAATGCGTCATTGACAGTGTGCATTTACTTGTATTTTGAAGTTTCCATGCGTTATAAAAAGGTGTTTCTCCGCATAGAAAAAATACACGTGTATTATTTTTATCAATCTTAATATTATTTTTCCGCTAACGTTTTACTAGTCATTTCTGCCCTTTGTTGATAGTGGTAATATACGTTAAATATATGAGCTTGGAATAAGAGGTATTAAAAATCGCAATGTGAAGATTGCAAGTAGGCATGTGCCAAATTGTTTTTTAAGATATTTAATCGATAAATATATTCTAACGTTTAGAATATGCTAAAAGAACTTCCTTTTATGTTCACTGTTAGGTGTGCTGTTAGAACGTCACATGCTTAGTGACATTTTGTGCCAAGATGACCAAATTCGGTAGGTTAAAATGCATGTTAGTCAAATAAATGCAATATGCCGAAACTTTGTTCCAGTTGGTTTAAATTTTCGGCGTCCAAGCGTGTCGTCTTCAATTCCGGAGTAAAAGGATTCACTCTGCGTGACCGTTCAGGCATGGTGAGGTAACGTAGTGCGGACGCTAGAATTCTGTACATTTGCTGGTCATAGAATTTGCGTCTTGAACGCATGTTTTCGTCTGCTTTTGCCTAGGAGGAAAGGTGGGTAACCGTATGAGAGGCTGCGTGGGATAAACCATTGGCTAGAGGCACTCCTGAATATTTAATTATTGTCACAGATATTACATGCAAAGTGCCTGTAACACGAGTTAGACGCCAATTGCGCAGACGCAAAAGGTTGGTCACCATGAGGTGGTTATGCTTTCTCCTCAGATGTCGAAAATATTTGATAGAATATTCAAAAGTTCAAGATAAATGATGTTTCCATGATAGTTAAGCCAAAAACCCATCTTATGTCTACTGCAAATGCAAAACTTTTATAATACTGGCGTGAATTCCGTAACATAGCCGACAATGAGCTCAGTAATAACTTTTCTGATATAAACGCATATGCGACTTCCAGGAAGCAGTTCATAAGACTAAGATGCGATCTCTGGACTAAGAGTTTTAGTTTCCTGACGTTTTTGAATCCTTAAACATAGGTAACCGTAGGATAGTATAAGACCAGTACAGAGCGCGCGGTATTTATATTTCATAGCGGCCACCTGCATGCGTACTATAATTATTAGTTTCTGTATCCACTGCTTGAGGTCGTCGTTTGTGTGGTGATGGCTTGGCAGTTCGCTCGACGGTTCTCGACAGAATCCGAAACGCTAGAAAAATAAAACTGTTCTTCTTCTGTTAATCACTATTCATTGTACGTAAGTTTTAGGAACGCATTCTCTGCTCGATGAATTCCTCGAAAATTCATAATATGTCAACCTAGGCAATGATCTCAATGCAGTGTGACAGCCTAAGCTCTGACCCACTCAATCCGGTTAGCGACTAAGTACGGCCATTGCGCTCGTAGATGAGGTGACCGAATCGTTCACATATTCATTTTTAAAGTTTCACGTTGCCGAAGATTCTCTCGCTTTAGATTTTATATGTAAGCCATGTTGAGGTAACGTCTCGTGCTGGTCTTAGTGGACTAACGCGGCTTTCGTCTGTGCGCCTGCTTTCCTGTCTTATATTTCATTAGAAAAGATTTAATGTTTTATTGTATATTCAATTTGCAATACATCTTTATTAAAATACTTATTATTAAGTGGGAAATGTCTTCCTGGATGCAAGAAAACCTAGACAAAGCCTTTACCCGAGATGATGCTTTAAAAGAGACCCCACGATGTCTAAAACTTTAGGCCGTCACAGCTGGGCTTCAGGCATCTTTTAAAAATTACCGCGACACTTCAAAGTAGAGAATAAATGCTTTGAGAATCATAAATGCCACTGAATTAGGTACCTTTTTGTTTGTCAGAATGCGCGGCATTTTTTATCGCTGTTATGCTCAATTCCTTTCGAAGACTTACCTTGATAATATTTATCCGTGCGCTGTCCGTTAGCAAACGCACATTGAATTTTATATATGCAATTCGGAATCCATACTCTGATCCACTGTGAGAAACATGAAAATTCAATGATCATGGGCACATTGATATTCTGAGTAGGTGACTTTTACGAACTCCATTACTCAGCGCTTGGCAGTCCGAATTGGAATCGTCGATTTTCCAATTTTCTCAAGAATAGATGTTATTACCGAGATAATGACCTGACTGGAAAACTCTGCATTGTTCACGGAAAGCAAACGTTTTAATAACTCATGAAGATTTCCTTTTTATATTTTCGAAAAACATGGGTGCGAGCATACCGCTTCAGACGGGAGTAACTGTCACCCGATAACGGAGGATTTACCTTGCATGGAGTCGTTATATTTTCCGAGGAAGGCTCGGCCTGACAAGGATTATTCGTTAAACCTGCAACCTAATCTGTTAATCGTCGTGCGCGGACTTCGGTTCATTTAAAGCCGAAGTTGTGATCCGGGCTCAAATCTTGGGTCACCACGTGTGAATAAGCATAATTCTTCCTGACCGTCAGTAAATGTTTTGCTCGTTCGCCTACACTACAGTCATGTTCAATTACTTCAGTTTTATTTAAAACCGGCATCTAAGCTCACAGTTCTTCCAATAACAGAAACGCAAAGGATACAAAATATATGCAATCACTGTGCCGTTTCCAAATAAATTATGACTAATTCTTGATAAACTGAGTGTTCGATTAATTCATTGAAAAAGAGGGCAACTGAACCTGTGCCCGTGTTTAAATTACCGGATGCGATAGTAAAACATCAAATTGTCATATTTTTTGACCTTTATATGTTTGTTTTCACAGCAGAATATTCAAAATACTATATAAACTTAACCATTATGAATTAGAAAATTAGGGTCAACAACGACAAATGAAATTGAAATGGTTATGTAAGGTTTATAAGCTTTCATTGGCCAACCGTACGGAGACTTACCTTTGGGCACTGGATATTCTAGCTGGCACGATTTTCGCACTGTTTCGAACACTTAATTTTTGCCATGGAAATGTTGTCTTTTTGCTTGCGATTGGGCTTATGAGTTCGAATTTACCTCTGCTCTATGGCGATAATAGCGTATTGCCTATTTGGTAAACATGAAAGTACAGATGTAATTTTAGAGGTCCAGTGAATGCCCCAATAACGATTTACAGTTTATAGTGTTGTATAGACATGAGCACTATCCTCCACGCGTCGTCTTATACGGTCTGTTCGAATGAACTTGCTTCACTAACGCTAAGTATGATCCTACTGGGAAGACAAATCTTTTTACACTGAAGTTTAAATAATACCTTTGCATAGCATTCGTTTTTTAGGCAAGGGTATTTTCATGGTAAATACGTTATAAGGTGCTCATTCTTATGCAGAAAATAAATAAATTTAAGCAACGGAGTTGCGGATAACTATCTGCTAGCCTTTGGAAAGGACGTCATTTATCGTGAAAGGACTAAATGAATTAGTAATTACCTTTTTATAAGCTGTTCCTACCATCGCTTGAACAGTGTCCGAAGAATACAAAAACAAGCTCCTCGTAGAAGAACAAACGTGAGCACAACGCTAGAGTCAGGAAGGAAAGAGTAAAAACAGCTGTGGTACAGGTGGTTCACTCTTCGCTATGATCGCGCACAGCCTTCTCCAAGGCGTTGCCATTACCTCAGACGAAATTTATGATGCTTCACTGTACACATCTCTTCATGCATGTTCATACCTCTCACGGTCCCGGAGAAGTTGGCACAAGCCTTCCTCTCTTTGCTTCGTCGCATACTTTTACGCCTCAAATACGCCTGTCCTTCTGTTATCATCAGTTTAAAAAAAGCATCTTGTGACATGTGAATCTGATGAAGAATAGTAGCAAAAGAACGCTCGCCAATTCTGCTTTTCTCAGATGTAGGCCCAGTAACCATAAACGAAGTTAAAAATAACTGATTTTCGTTGGAAGAATACAAAAGAAAAAGCTCATCATTGATGTCTCCTGTAACCTTCATGGGCCAATTTACAGAGCATATAAGTGGATCTCAGATTTCATAAAATCCGCACATGCTACAAGCGACAGAACGATTAAAGCAAAAACAAAAAGGTTTGTTATTTATTTCAACGATAATTGCTGATTATTTTTACACGTCATGATACGTGGGCTGACAAAAATTCAGCTGAGTCACGGACGTATGACGGACAAGTGTTCGGGGATAAAGGGTTAAATAATTTTGCGTACAGAGAGGAGAAGTATATTGTACGAAAACGTATTTACGTTAGTGATCATTCTTATGAAGTAAAGTCTTTGTCCGCAGATAAGTCAACTCACCAAATTCTTTGTTTTACAAATTTAACTTAATTGCACGATTAAAAAGACGCCCAAGGTTTGTAAACACTTAGATTTCGATGTTCTATAAATGGATCCAGTGCGGCGTCACAAGTGGCAAATAAAGTATTCTTTCCACTCTGCCTAATAATTGCCCATCGTGGGAAATTCCGCCTTCATATGCAGATGCCTGAAACATTTGCGAACAATGCACCACGTGATCCGAGCCGCAGTAAAAGAAAGACGAAAACAGTGGAGGAAATGAATATTGACTTCTCGAGGCGTCGTGTCACTTCATGTCTTCGCCTGCCTAACGAGGTCGCGTGACAAAGTTTGATTCCGTGAAATCTTCCTTCTGCATCCTAAAACAAAGTCGATGGTAAAATAATATTAACGTATGTGAGCGTGCAGCACCTAAGTTATTTTACTCGCAAAGCTAACAAACTTCTCATGTAATTTTCTCCTAATTTATGTCAGCAAATAACGTATCTTAATGGTGATTGGGTTAAAAGAAGCAGAAAAATGGGCTCACAGC